CCGAGCCGAACTAGGAAAGCCTTCTTCCTTCGAGCCATATCCCCAGGCCCTGGAATAGTTACTGACTTTATTTTTTTATTTTTTAAGTACAATTACCTAGCAACATCACTCATTTAGTGTAGAAATGTCTTTGTTAGAATCACAACGTGCCATTTAAAGAGATCTCTGCATGGGCTTTGGAGCTGTTTGCATACTGAGCCCTTCTAGCTGTCTCTGGAGACGGAAGCTGGGAAAAGAGGGAGCTCGGGGTATTGGGAGTATGCTCCAAAGCTGCCTCTCCATGGCAAGCAGGGTAAACTGGAACCTGCCCTTCAGGGTCCCCACAGACCCAGAGGAGACGGAGTTATTTCTGGAGTTAGGTGATAGAGAACAAGATAAGCTAGAACTCTAGCCTGGGAAGGAAAAAAAAAAAACCCAACCCAGTGTCTGTAATAACTAAAATTATTAATTTTCTGAGACAAATTCTGAAGGCATGGAGGATGGCTTTAATATTAAATCTTTATACAGTAACAGGTATTTTGTTTATAATGCTAAGTCACTGTCTGTAAAGACCAAATTAAACAAGGATAACAGTGTTTTTACTTTCCCTCCATGTTATTAGACAAAGCCCAGTAACGCTCACCTTCCTCCCTCTCCTTTGCCACTGCACTGCCAGGGTGTGCAGAGACCCTAAGACAAACGCCCTCTTCCTCAGCCAAACCCTAAGGTAATGACTTTGAGCAAAACAAATAAAGAACTACATTTGACGTCACAAATCTCCTCACCCAGCCGAGTGTGGTAGCACACGCCTTTAATGCCAGAATCAGGAGGCAGAGTCAGGTGGATCTCTGAGTTAGAGGCCAGCCTGGTGTTCAGAGTGAGTTCAAGGACAGCCAGGGCTACAGAGAAAAACCTGTCTCAAAAAAATAAAATAAACAAATCCCCTCACCTAAATACGCACATGTAACATGTTATCAAAGTACTTTTTAAAAACTAGACAAATACAGATTTTGAGGCAGTCTAGAAAGACAGGGAAACTATGGGACATGGGAAAGGAAAGGAGCCCTCACTCAGGAGTTAGGTTAAAATAAAGTCACTCAGGCAGGTTGGTAGTGGCTCACACCTTTAATCCCAGCACTTAGGAGGCAGAGGAAAGCAGATCTCTTTGAGTGTGAGACCAGCCTGGTCTACAGAGGGAGTTCCTGGGCAATGAGGGCTGTTATACAGAGAAACCCTGTCTCGGAAAAACAAACAACAAACCAAAACACAAAAATAAAGCCACTCATCAACTGAGAGCCATGAACCTCCACCGCAACAATAAGCATTTCCTATACAAGTTGCTCACAGGGTTAATTTTCCTTCCATACATTTTTGTTGTTTGTTTTTCGAGTCAGGATTTCTCTGTGTAGCTTTGGTGTCTGTCCTGGAACTAGCTCTTTTAGACCAGGCTGGCCTCGAACTCACAGAGATCTGCCTGCCTCTGTCTCCTAAGTGCTGGCTGGGATTAAAAGTGTACGCCACCACTGCCCGGCCTCCATAGATATTTTATAGTAAATAACAATGTCCCAAGCTTAGGCCTGAATGCAGAGAATCTTGGCTAGTGCCTCCATTCCTCCCCCAACCATCACCTAAAGATCCCCAAGAAAACTTTGTTTACAATGATGCCCGTCTTCTGTACCCCTGTGAGACACTTCTACATTATCACCTGTAATCCTGCAGGTACCCCTGAGGGAACACCCAGGAACCTCCAATTCTCAGCAACCCTTCAAACCTCACCAAAATCCAACATATGATGACTGTTGTGAAAAATACACAAAACAAACAAAAAACCAAAACCGGGAGCCGAGCAGCTGATGTCTGCAGCAGGGTGTACACCCCATCTGTCTGTCCATCTGCTCTGTTCTAAGAAGCATGCCCACACGCATGCTCTCAGTGGTGACTTGTCTGTCCTTCTGAGCACCTCTCTCTCTCTTAACCCTTCTGCTGAAGCCTACGTTCAATTCTCTTGACTGGGTCTGGGGATACAGCTCAGAGACTAAGTGCAGGAGACTAGAGCTGGACCCCCGGCACCCACGTCAAAGATCATGCAGGCATGGCCATTTCCTGTAATCTCAGAACTCAGGATCCTCAGGGCCACCGGGCTAGCCAGAAATCAGCAGACTGCATAAAGAGACCCTGCCTCAATAGATAAAGTGGCCAGTGATGGAGGAAGACATCGACTTCTGGTTTCCACACACTACACACACATACAATCACACATATGTGCTGGGCAGTGGTGACACGTGCCTTTAATTCCAGCACACTGGAGGCAGAGACAGGCGGATCTCTGCGAGTTCAAAGCCAGCCTGGTTTACTGAGTGAGTTCCAGGACATCCAGGGCTGTTACGCTGTCTCAACGCCCCCCCCCAATAAATAAATAAATAAATAAATATCACACATGAGAACATGTGAACAGCACATATATATGCAAAACAACACAAAAAAAACCTTTATTAAACCCCAACTTTGCTGGCATGGTGGGGGCACACCTTTAAACCCAACATGGGAAAGGCACAGGCGGTCTGAGATCTGTGACTTTGAGGCCAGCCTGGTCCCCACAGTAAATTCTAGACCAGCCAGAGCTACATGGTGAGACCCTCTCTAAAGACAAGGAAACAAACCACCCTGCTTCATGAACTGTGTTGAAGCCATGACTCATGAGCTAAGGTCCTTAAGGATCAGGGGATCCCTGAGACCGAGAGAGACAGTGGAAGTGTAGCTCCCTGTACCCTCAAACACCGACAATATCCAAGGCAGAGAACAGACGTAGGGGAGGGGCGTTAATTACTGCAAAGGATTTTTCTGAGTAGGTGGTGCTGGGAACGGACCCTGGACGTACCCAGCATGCACTCTACCTCCAGCATGTAAAAGTTCTTTTAAAAAAGCCTTTGTTTTTCCATCAGTAGTAAACGGCTAAGGCCATATGCTGGGGCATGGCTGTCACATCCCAAAGCCGAGTGGTGCGTACTAAACACCTCCAGTGTGCACACAATCTCGGGTGCTGTTTCAAAACAATGGTTAACAAGAACTCAGCCTGCCCCTCACAGGTGAAGTCACAAAGAGAATAGCACACAGTGGTTACCGATGATCAGAAACGCTAATAGGCCATATATACGCACAACTGAATTAAAACACGTAATTAAAACACTCAGTATCTAAGTTCATATCTGTTAAATAATACCTCAATAAAAGCATGAGGTTCAATACAAGTTTTTCTGTTCTGTCTTAAAAAATACGTATCTTTAAGGATTTATTTTCAAAATTTTCATATATATATATACGTGTGTGTGTGTGTGTGTGTGTGTGTGTGTGTGTGTGTGTGTGTGTATGTATGCCACGTGTGCATAAGGGTGCCGAGAGAAGTCAGAAGACAGCATCAGACCCCTTAGAGCCGGAGTTACAGGTGGTAATGGTAATGGTAATGAGCCAGCTGAAGAGGGTGCCAGGACTCAAACCTGAGTTGTTTGCAAGCGCTGTATGCGCTCTCATGGGGTGAGCTACTTTCCAGCCTGCTTGTCTTTTTTAAAGACAGGGTCTCATATCCCAGGCTGGTGATCTTGAACTTCTGACCACCCTTCTGCCACCGCCACCACCTCAGGTGCTGGGATGTTTCCTGATGCCAGGGACGGCCCCCAGGGCCTCATGTGTGCCAGCAAGCACTCTACCAACATACCAACAGAGCTGTCTCTCCAGACCAAAACCAAGCTACTGTACTGTTGTATTTGTGAAGGGTGGGGCCAGTGGTCCCCTTATCTGTGGCTTCCCATTCTGTGGTTTCAGTTATGTGTGGCCAATGAGAGAGAGCATGGACGTATCTACATGTACACAGTATGTTATCTTGAGAAGGAGCGGGATCCCACGTCCACAACTTTACAGTTTGTTTGTTCTGGTTTGGATCTTTGCAGTGCTGGAGAGGGTGCCCAAGGGCCTTGTGTATGGGTAGCAAGAACTTACCACTGAGCCACACCTCCCAGCACACAGCTTTTATTATACTATATTGTTACAGTATTAGTGACTGTTAGTCTTTAATGTGTCTAATTTAAGAGTTAAAACTTTATCATAGGCACGTGTGTACAGGGGAAAATAGCACACAGAGGATTAGACACTAGTCATGTCTCACACATCCTGGGCAGTCTTAGAACACACTGCTCATGGATACGAATGGATTCCTGTACATATGTTCTAAGAAAGATCTTAGCCAAGCCTGGTGGCTCTATGAGCTCAGCATTTGGGAGATGGAACTGGGAGGATAAAGAGGCAGTGGTGGTACATGCCTTTAATCCCAACACTTGGGAGGGAGAGGCCAGCAGGATCTCTGTGAGTTCATGGCCAGCCTGATCTACAGAGTGAGTTCCAAGACAGTCAGGACTGTTTCACAGAGGAAAGAAACCCTGCCTCAAAAGACAAAACAAAACAACAACAACAACAAAAGGAGTTCAGAGTCATCCTTGGCAACATAATGAGGCTGATATTCCTGAGACTGTCTCAATAAATCATAATGAAGAAAGAGAGGAAGAAAGGAAGGAAGAAAAAAAAAAGGAAGGAAGGAAGGAAGGAAGGAAGGAAGGAAGGAAGGAAGGAAGGAAGGAGAGAAATAATCTTGAGCCAGGCACAGACCTGTAATCCCAGCACTCCTAAGGCTGAGGCAGGAGGATCATGATGAGTTCATAATCAGCTTGACTACTTAGTGAGACCCTGTCTCAGCAACAACAGCAAACCATGAGCTATAATATAAGATCCTTATACTTTCTAATGCTCTTTCATGTTTTTCATTGTACCCTGCTCCATTCTTTCTTGAATGCTGAGATGCTGTCCGTAAGCTATTAATAAGCTCACCAGATTCATGCACACAGGTATAATGTTCACGGAATGAGATGCACTGCTGGGGTTTGAAGACGATTATGAAATCAGTTAGAGACCCCAGCTCCCCATCCCTCATAATAGGTGAGCTGGACACAGGCGCAGAACAGGTGGCCACTCACCTTGAAGTGGAAGGAACTGGCCGGTGACCCTATGGAGCTACACTCTGGTTTCACTCGGTTGCTGTAGTTCTGGGCCTTGGAGCTGACATTCTGGTTGGACATGCGGTCATCAGTGATGGGGCAGATGAAGTAGTCCTCATCATCGTCACTGTCTTTGTCAGACTCCCCATTGTGGCAGGCTCGGGAGGACCCGCCACGGTCAACACCTTCCAGGCGGAAGATAAGGTCTTCGTCTGCCATGTTTCAGGGGAGCCCGTGTTACTCGAGGGGTCTGCTGTGCAGCCAGAGTTACTGCGCAGGAGCAGCTAGGACAGTCCTGCGGGGAAAGCAGAGTGGAGGGCATGAGGGTGGTCGGGATACCTGCATGATGCTGAAGATGGCCACGCTGGCAGAAACCCATGTGGAGAGGCTGTTAGCAACAAGCTGGCAATAAGGTGGGAACATTTCAAATGTCCACGCCTGCTGGCCCAGTCCCTTCACTTGAGACAACTCTGAACGCTTGGGAACCAGAAGTGCCTCGCAAAGAGTCACAGCTATCTTCCTTTAAGGACATAAACCATATCGAATCTCTCCTCCTCTCACCCACCCTCCAGCAACTCCCCTCACAGAAGGACTAGAACTCAAATCCTTCTAAGCTACACCAGCTGGGCCCCTGGAACCCCGCCCATCATCCTCAGGCCTTAGCCGCTCTTCCTGGGACACTAGTTTCTTTCCACTCAGTGAGCACATCGAGGGTGTCCCCACCCCAAGGCCTTTGGACTCTTTCCCTGAGCCTGGAACAGCCGTCTGTTCCATTTCTCGTTATGGGGGCTGTAGTCCAAAGGATGACACTTCAGAGAAAACTCCAGATTCCCTGTTGTCTTCTCAGTGATCATCCTGAGTTTAAACTGTCCTCTGTACTTTCTTTTCTTACACTTTTTTTCCTATTGAAAATATTTTTTTTTTTACATAATATATCCTGATTACAGGCTTCCCCTCCCTCTACTCCGCCCAGTTCCTTCCCACCTCCCCTCCTACGTGGATTCACTTCCTTTCTGTCTCTCATTAAGAAAGAAAATGTTTCTAAGGGATAATAATAAAATATAGCAAGATAAAATACAATATAACAAAACTATTACATAAAAGTTGGACAAGACAAACAGAAGGAAAAGGGCCCAAAAGAAGGCACAAGAATCAGAGACACTCACTCGCACACCCAGCAATCCCATAGAATCACTAATATGGAAGCCATAATTGCTGCGGGAGCGCCTTCTGCTCCTTCAGCCAATAGCGGCTGAAATACCAGCCCACTGGGGGGTTCTCTAAAAAAGAGTGGCAAGCCTTGGCTAGCTCTCTTGGTTCCAGCTCTTGTTCCAGAGACTAGACTCCTTTCCTGATGGTTGGTATTCTGTAAATTTTACCCCTAAAATACCTCTTTAAATCCAAACTGATGGGGGATTGTTTCGCACATTACATAATCTATACACTGAGTACCCGGTGCAGGCCCTTGCAGACCATTGCAGGCCCTGGGCACGCTGCCTTGCTCTGTGAACTCACGCTGATCCAGAGGACCTTGTTTTCCTGGTGTCCTCTATCCTCTGGCTCTTACTGCTACTGGTGGGGTTCCCCAAGCCCTGAGGGGAGGGATACAATGGAGACATCCCATTTAGGGCTGAGTGCCCCAAGGTGTCTCACTCTCTGCATGTCTGGCTGTGTTCTCTGTATTTGTTCCCATCTGCTGCTGGAGGAAGCTTCTCTGATGATGGCTGAGCAGGGCACTGACCCATGAGTATAGCAGAATGTCATTAGAAATCGTCTTTTTTTAAAGAACAGTAGTATTTGGCTTTGCTCTAGGTCCCTGGGCTACCTAGTCTCAGGTTCTCGGTCACCCAAGCAGTGAAGGGTATGGGTTCCACCTCAGGGAATAAGTCTTTTACTTATTTTGTGTGTGTGTGCATATGTGTACATGTATAGCTATGTGTCTGTCACAGAGCAGGCGCAGAGGCTGACGGACTCCCATCAGCCTTTGCAGTGGATGACTTAACCTGCTGAGCCGTCTTGCAGGCCCTTTTCCTTCTGTTAGCCACACGCTCACTGATTGGCCTAGAAGTGCCTGGCACAGACAAGACATTTGATGTGTTTCCCCTCAGTAAACAAACGAACATCCCTGCAATTGTCCCCTGGAACTCCAATAACTCAATAACAGCAAGAAATTGCTAGTGCAAAAAGAGGAACATGGGATGTACTCACTCATATTTGGTTTCTAGCCATAAATAAAGGACATTGAGCCTATAATTCGGGTTCTTAGAGAAGCTAAATAAGAAGGAGAACCCAAAGAAAATCATATAGGCTTCCTCCTGAATATTAACCTTCATCAGGCGATGAAAGGAGACAGAGACAGAGACCCACATTGGAGCACCGGACTGAAATCTCAAGGTCCAAATCAGAAGCAGAAGGAGAGAGAGCACAAGCAAGGAACTCAGGACCGCGAGGGGTGCACCCATACACTGAGACAAGGGGGATGTTCTATCGGGAACTCACCAAGGCCAACTGGCCTGGGTCTGAAAAAGCCCGGGTTAAAACCGGTCTCGCTGAACATAGTGGACAATGAGGACTACTGAGACCTCAAGAACAATGGCAATGGGTTTTTGATCCTACTGTACCTATTGGTTTCGTGGGAGCCTAGGCAGTTTCGTGGAGGCTCACCTTACTAGACCTGGATGGAGGTGGGTGGCCCTTGGACTTCCCACAGGGCAGGGAACCCTGACTGCTCTTTGGGCTGACGAGGGAGGCGGACTTGATTGGGGGAGGGGGGGGGAAAGGGGAGGCGGCGGTGGGGAAGAGACAGAAATCTTTAATAAATAAATAAATCAATAAAAATTAAAAAAAAAAGAAATTGCTAGTGTCCCCATCAGCGAAGGCCTGTTATATAAATTATAGTATTTCTTTCTACGAAATAAGGTACTATGTGATGGCTAGAAGTGGGGAGGCCCAGCACCCAGGGACACACCCACACAGCCAGGGAACAGTGCGGCAGGACTGTCAAGAAGGAAGTCTAACACTTGCAGGGCTAATGACTTCCAGCCAGATACTAAAATGACTGAATTCGTCAAGAATGATCTTCAACACATGGGCTGGAGAGACCCTGAATACCTTCCTCACACTGCATGCAAATGTCCCATGGAAACAGACGAAGGCGTAAGAGCCAAACTCAGGAAATTCAGGACATCTTCAGAATCTTCATAATAAACAGAGACTTGGGTGCAGGCAGTAGGGGTGGTACTGGGACGGAGCCCAGGGACTTGCACATGCTAGGCACGCGCTCCAGCCTAGCCCTTGGGTGTTTCAGTTTTCTTTGACATAAGTTTTATTTTATATAGTGTCCTTTAACTTTCTGTGTACCCGAGCTGGCCTTTGACTCACAATGTCCCTGCTGTCACCATCTCTCAGGGGCCTCGACTACAGGTAATTTGTGACCATAATCAACAGGATTTCTTCAACATGGCGGCCAAAGTACCAGTAACAAAAGAATAAATAGTTAAAATAAAAAGCTTGTGTGTGATGAAGGACACTGCCATATAAGAGGGGAGCTGGAGAGACAGCTCAGTGGGTAAGAGCATTTCTTGCTCCTGCAGAGCACCAGGGTTCAGCTCTCAGCATCCATACAGTAGCTCACAAGCATTCATGATTCCAATTCCAGGGGACCTGACACTCTCTTCTGGCCAGACACACATGGGGTATGCATACTCACAGGCAGGCAAAATACTCATAAAAAGTAGCCAGGCAGTGGGGCACATGTTTTTAGTTCCAGCACTTGGGAGGCAGAGGCAGGCGGATCTCTGTGAGTTCGAGGCCAGCCTGGTCTACACACTGAGTTCTAGGACAGACTCTGAGAGCTAGATAAACCCGGTCTCAAAACTGAATAAATAAATAGATGAAATCTGAGAGAGAGAGAGAGAGAGAGAGAGAGAGAGAGAGAGAGAGAGAGAGAGAGAGCGCGAGAGAGCGAGCACAAAGGCCAACATTCTTCTCCGGCCTATGTTGTGTTGTCATGGCAGAGAAAAACACAGAAGAGACACACACATACAAATAAACAAACAACAAAACTAAAGAAACAACCTACAAAATGAGAAAAAAGGTTTTCAAATCATGAACTCATATGATAAGGGACTCAACAAAGAACTCTTACAATCAATAAACACAATAAAAACAGCCAAAGGATTTGGACACTCATTTGTCTGGAGCTGGGTGTGCTAGGGCATGCATGCCTCTGGAAATATCTCTAGAAACTGAGGCAATGAGATCATAGGCTTAAGATTAGCTGGGCCAGACAGTGAGATATTGTCAAAAAAAAAAAAAAAAAAGCAACAATCTCTCTTGGAGGACTTGAGTTCAGTTTCCAGCCAGTAACCATCTTGGGTGGCTCACAGTTGTCTGTAACTCCAGATTCAGTGATCTGACACCCTCATCTGGCCTCCACAGTCATATGTATATACATGCACATATACGTATATACACCTGCACAAATGCAGAGAGAGAGAGAGAAAGCAAAAAGAATTTTAAACGCACACACAAATAGCTGGTGTACATATGAAAAGGTGTCAGGGAAATGCAAGTGAAAGTCACACCCCACTAGGATATAGTTTTAAAGCTGGGCCATAATAAAAGTCAGCAAGGACGTCCAGGAACTGGAACCCACAGTTCCTAGTGAACCCACAAAATGGTGCACCTGCTACAGAAAATCCGGACAATTCCTCATGGTCCAGCAATTCTGCTCCCAGGGTGCAGCTCAAAAGAAATGAAAATATGTCCTTATAGCCACTAGCAAACAAGCTGGGCTTGTGGCTCACGTCTGTAATCCCAGCATTCTGAAGGCTGAGGTGAGAGAATTGCAAGTTCGAGTCCAGCCTGGACTACACAGTGAGTTCCAGACAGACCTATCTAGGCTACACAGGAAGACCCTGTCACATGCACACAGAAGGGGAGAGGGGTTGACAAGAGGCTTAGTGGGTAAAGGTGCTTGCTGTACAAGCCTGGCAATGAGAATTCATCAGAACCCATATGACGGAAAGAGAACTGATTCCTCAAAGAGTCCTCTGACCGCCACAAGCACACCATGGCGCGTGTGTCCTTGCATACACATTATGTATGTACGCGCACAATTAAGCAAATGTTTATAAACTTTACACAAATGTTCCTAGTGTCCCTACGTCCGGCATAGTGTTTAGTTTTGTTTCAGCCATTTCTTTCTTCCAACACCTTGGCACTTTCTTGGCAGCTACTGAAACAGAGGACATACATTTACATTCTAACAACTCAGTACAAACTCCTAAAATG